AGGCAAGATGGTTATCGCCCAAGCGCTTATTTGGCTAACTATGCTTAAGCAATAGGCCGCCGGCCAGACAGCTCTTGCACACCCGGAGCCTAGGCTCATTGCACAGGGTAGAGTGTCTGGTTTGAGCAGCCCATGAGGGATGTCGAACAGAGCTTCACACAGAGAAGTTGCCCAGTATGCAGGCTTCTCTGGGAGGCATGTTGTCCTGCATAAGGGTTGCCTGCCCCAGCCTCCCTTTCCCAGAAAAACGGCAGAGGACAGGTCGAGAGTGCTTCGGGTCAAGCTAACAGCCTAGTCGCGACTCTCGTACACAGTCTTATTGTTTGATTTGGGAAGGTACAACCTCTGCCTCTATCCCTCAACATATGGGTGACCTATTTGCTTGTAAAAATATAAAGCCTTATCATTAATTAATAAAAAAAGGGGGATATGTAGGGAGCCGTTCCTGCATTCTCCATTACAATGATGGTGCCTGCAGGCACCAAATGTAAATTATTTCGCAGGCGCTGGGTAATTTCCATTCCTTTGATCTCTGCCTATCCCGTGGCTCATTTGGCCTGAGGAGCTGAAGCCATTCAAAGGGTAACACGTCCCAGGCGGCCGAGGCCAGCCTTTATTAAGGAACGGGATTCTTGGGCCGGGGTCTCCGCTCTGGTAAGCTTATGCTCTCCCACTCTCAAGATGCATTAAAGCTTTCCTGCAGAAGGATCCGAGTGTCCTGCGTGATTCTTGCCGGCGAGAACATAGCGCGAGGGACATCGAGAATGCAGGAACGGCTCCCTACATGAAACACAGTATGACCCTTAAGTAACCCCTTATCTCCCCATTAGCAATTCCTTGGCAACCAATAATTTGCTTTCTGTCTTTATAGAACTGGTTATTCTGAATATTTCAGATAAAAATATTCATACAATGTATGACCTCTGGTTCCAGATCTTTCCTTTCATAGCTTGTTTTCAAGGTTTACCCATGTTGTGGCACACATGAATATGTCAATCTTTTTAAGTCTCACTTTCATTCCATTATATGTACACACCACAACTTTGTTTCTCTCTTCATCTACTGATGGCCATCTGGGTTTTCTGTCACCTTTGGCTATGCTTATTTACAAATAGAAAAATGCCAATTAAACTGGACTGAGGCAGCCCAGATGACACTTAGCATTTTACACATATCCAGATGATTCTAATATTTTTTAGGGTTAAGAAATACAGTCCAGACTCTTCCTTCCCCCTCCAGCTCTCCTGAGCCCTACTCCTCTCCAAGGCACCCATCACCCCAGGATCTCTCTGGGCCTTTAGGCTGCAAAGAGTGGTCCCGCCTGCATAGAGTGGACCCGCCCAGGCAGGAAGGACCTCCAAGAGTCTAGAAATATCTCACTCTCCCTTCCACCTCTGCCGCCCCAAACTCTGCTGAGTGAGGAGACTACCAGGAGAGGCAAGACCATCCATATCTGCAGACAATGAAGTCTTGGCCCACACACACCACCGGGTGACAAGAGGAGATAGAGAGACCCCACCTGCACCCACTGGAAGAGATGGGAAGAAGGCAGAATAAGAACACACTCAACAGAAAAACCAATATGACACCACCAGAATCTAGGGACTCCACACCAGCAAGATCTAAAAGCACAACACAGAGGAAGAAGAGACAGACCTAAAAATCTACTTCATAAAGATGTTCAAGACCCTTAAAGAGGAAACAAGAAAATCTCTTAAAGAAATAGAAGAAAAAAAAAACAAACAAAAAATTCAAGAAATAAGTAATTCTCTTAAAGAATCTAAAGAAAAAAACAACCAAACAAGTGAAGGAAGCACTGGAAACAGTTCAAGGCATGAAAGCTGAAATAGAAACAATAAAGAAAACACAGAATGAGGGGATTCTGGAAATACAAAGCCTGGATAAATGATCAGGATGTAAGGATGTGAGTATAACCAATAGAATACAAGAGATGGAAGAAAGAATCTCAGTTGTTAAAGACTCGCTAGAGGCTATACAGTCATCGACCAAGGAAAATCTCAAGTCCAACAAATCTCTAACACAAAATATCCAGGAAATATGGGACACCGTGAAAAGGCCGAATCTAAGAATAATAGGTATAGAAGAAGGTGAAGAAATACAGGTCAAAGGTACAGAAAACATATTCAACAGAATCATAGAAGAAAACTTCCCCAACCTACAGAAGGATATGCCTATGAAAGTTCAAGAAGCTTATAGAACACCAAATAGACTGGACCACAAAAAGAACTCCCCTCACCACATAATAATCAAAACACCAAACGTACAGAATAAAGAGAAAATATTAAGAGCAGCAAAGGAAAAAGGTCAAGTAACATATAAAGGCAGACCTATCAGAATCACACCTGACTTCTCAATGGAAACTTTGAAAGCCAGAAGGTCATGAGCAGATGTCCTACAAACATTAAGGGAACATGGATGCCAACC